GTTTATCAAGTGTGCTAATTAAGTGGGAAAGATTTAAGACCTTTTAATATTATGTATAACTGTTCTGGTTCTGATACATGCCCATCACCATAGTATCTGATCACCTCAGACTAAACTTTGCTCAAAATGTTCATTGTACAGCTCAGATGCGTCTCTTCATTATCTGGATTTGGTTGCAGCAATTATTAGAGTCTATGGCTCATTGTGCACCGCCTGCTAACACTATGCTGGATCTGAGATGGACAGAGTGACAACAGATTTGTATTGATTATTGGGAAGGCAAAGTGGTATTTTTGTTTTTTAATGTCAATAATAATCTTCATAAAGGATTCAACATTCTGCCTCTTCTCTCATTTTTAATTAAATGTTCAGCTGCATATGTTGTTTAAGTTTAAAGTTTTCATATATATCATAGATCAACATATGCAAGTTATATGCAAAGGACTGTTTGTTATTCTGTAGTTCATCACAGCAAAGGCTTTCCTGAGCAGGGTGTATAAAATACTATACTACATTATAGTTCCAGTAACGGGGGACTTAATGGCGAGTCTCTGGAAATCACTTTATCATAGGCTGTATTCTAGAATGCTGTTATGTTCCACACAGATCGTTGTGTTTGGCTGCATGTATTCAAAATAAAGAGGAAATGGGGGCAAATGAAGAATAATAATAAAGAAAACAGGAAGCCAAGAAGGTCTGAATTTAACCACAGCTATTCCCCTGACTCCCTCTGTTGCCCTGGGCAAGGAACAACCTTCTCCTCCGTTTCCCCACTGGCAAAATGAGATGATGAGACACACTTATTTTTCTTCCCCCTCCATCCAAGTCTTGCAAGAATTAATGTATGTACAGTAATGTGAACATGTCAAGCATTCAATCTCATGGTCACTATGACATTCAGTGGCTTGTCCCAAGTGCTTCTAATTAAACACACGTAGCTGGCCACTCTTTGATCTTGTTGTAATGCTCGGTATGGAAGTACAGGTAGTAACTTTGTCATGGACAGACCTTTGCATCAACTATTTTGAGGAAAGGACACACCTTTTCTGCTAGGGCGAAGGATCTATTTTATTGGCCTGCCCTTAGAAGCTAAATTTCAAAACTCTTGGTGGGGAAATACTTCAGCCCGACTGAAGGTTCAGTGTGGAGACCATATGTCTGAATTTCTTTGTTTGGCAAATACCATGAAGTCTGGGGACATAAGGGAAGCTGACAGTACCTTCTCAGTGGAAAAAAAGGCCTTAATGGACTCTGATAAATTACTATGTATCTTTCTAGACTAAAACTAACTCATTCTCTTTTAGGGTTTGTGCCAACAGACCACAATACAATACCCTACCAGGCCAAACAGTTATCTTCAGCTATCAATATTCTAAACATGCCATTTACATCATCTTCATGGGTCATCATGGTATAAAGATGGTATGTGACTGATGAAGCTGTGAGGGAAAAAAATCCTGAAACACTAGTGGTGGATGTCACAATCTGACCAACTGCGAGTTTGTGAATTTGATTTACCTTTGTATTTGTTTCTGGACTTCTGTGCTACACTATACACTATTTCCTTTAAAACTACCACAGCTGCATAATTTCAGCATATAAATAAAAAGTGGTAAACTTATAAGTTTTCTTTTGTTGGGAGTCAACCAGGCTGCCAAAAATAGTCCCATTGTTTATCATATAACCCCACTGTTCACCTCTTTGTTGCTTCTTCAGTCAGAATGAATAGGGAAGGGTGATCCACTGGAGTTCACAATTCTCAGAACCTCTTAAATTAGTTCATGGGTTTGCAAAACTACTAGAAAACCATTTTTCCTGTAATATGAACAATTTTTTCAAATGCAATTCTTTATGATTACATATATAGAATTATATGCAATGTTTGCATATACACACACACACACACTTTCCTTTCCCCAACATTTCCACTTTCACACTTCTTATTTCACTGTCTCCATTTTTCACTGTCTGTTCACTACTCCATTTTTCACTTTAAATTTTCGTTGGTTGCTCCTGACCTGCTGCAGAGATGAGGTTGATGCAAGTGCATCTAAATATGGGTGGTGAAGTCAGTCTGTCTGAACCGTGCTGCTACTACTTGAACACTTTTGTGAAGATTGGAGGTGCAGTTGCCCGATAGAATGGAAACACTCTATATTGATAGTGGTCGGGACCCACCACAAACCTGAGGGATTTTCTGTGGGAAGAGGGAATTGTTACATAAAAGTACACCTCTTTCACATAGAGAGCTGTGAACCATGTGTTCTTTTCCAGAGATGGTATTAATGATGCCAGCACAACCATATGGAATTTTAGCTCTTGAATACAAATATTGAGTTGTTGCAGGTCGAGAATGGGTCTCAACTCTCCTTTCTTTTTGGAAACTAGGAAATATTTAAAGTATAACCATTTTCCTCAGCGTTGATGAGGCTCCTGAACTATCACTCCCTGTTGGAGGAGAAATTCTATCTCCTGGAGAAGGATCGCCTCATTAGATTGATCCATGAAGAGGGATGGGGAAGGGAATAGGGAGAAAAACTTGACGGTATAGCTGGAAGGTATGATGTCCACCACCCACTTGTCCATTGTTATTGCTCTCCAATTGTGGGAAAAGAATGATAGATGGTCACCAGAGAATACGTGAGGCTTTGGTGGAAATGGCATCAATAATGGTTTGCCACTTCTGAGCATATTGTCAAAAGTATCTATTGGTGATGTTGGGTTGATGTGGTTGACATGGAAAGTCCAGGATATTGTGACCTTTTCACCCTCTGTCATTTATAAGGTTGTTCTATAGGATTGCTGATGCTGAAATAGCCGAGGAATAGGCCTTGGTCTGTAGGGATGTTTATTGTATTTCCTCTTCGGGGCTAGTGTGTGTATATATAGAACCTTGTTGCAATGAGACTTTTTATTGAGGCCCTGAGACTTAAGATATTCGAAGTGTTTGGGAGCTGTGGGTGAAGACTTGCCAGACTTGAACATGATGGCTGAGAGATCAGTCCTCTTCAGAATGGACTTAAGGAAGAATCTGCTCTTGTGCTTATAAGCGCATTCCCTGCTTTCTTGAGGAAACTTTGATGGAGGGTCTGTTGGTGTAATCTCCCTTGCTCCTACTTCAGGCCTCATGCTAGGGAGGTGCGTTCCTTGATGACTCTGGCCAAAGTAACAGGGGTATCCCCCAGCCTGGGTATGACTGGAGCCTCATAGCCTTTTCCATGAGGTGCTTTTTAAGCTGAAATTACAACACAAGCTGGGTACGGCTAGGGAAGGGATGATAAATACTGCACCTGGTAAACATATGCACTTCCCCGAGTCAGCACAGGCAGTGCCAGGGGTCATCACTGACCAAGAATTAGCGGGGACAGGAGGGAGTTCCCTGGGGTGGGGAATCTAACTAGCCCCTAACTATACTTAAAAAAATGCCCTAATGCTAAAGATAAAGAAGCAAGTTTTGAAATATTTACAGCTTTTAGTAAAGGAAGCTGAAGAGAAAGGAGAAGCTCTGGACACGGCAGGTTCCAACTCAGGCCATGCAGTGGTTGGTCCATGCCACCCCTTCTACTCTCAATGCAAAGCAAGAAGAGATTGGGGAACAGGTGCAGAACAATGGACACTGCTTGCAAGTATTCTCCAGCGTCAGGCTCATGCATACCCACAGTAGACTGCACACAGGGACCACCACTTGAAGAACACCACGTGTTGCTATCCAGGAGCTTCAATGGTTTATAGGAGGGGCAGTCAATAGGTGGACCATGGGCAAAATCTAAACAGCCAAATGCTTTTGAATGGATCCCAAATCTTTTTATTACTTATTATCATCTTTATTGTTATTTTTTAAATTATGTTCTCTGGAGTCAGGACCTTGACTATCCCTTGACCAAGAAATTTGGACCTTGACAAAAAGTTATTGACTATCCCTGGTTTATAGTTTTATTTATGGATATAATTTCTAAAAGGGAAATAAATGAATCTGAGTAGTTATCTCCTGTGCCAATAATCAAATTAACACCACCATCAGCAAGGCTCTAGAATTACAAACTCTTCATCTCTGTGATAAGGAGTGAAATCTGGCTAGTCCATATTTGGTTTATCTGTACAACTAGACATCTGAAAGGCTGAAACTGTGACCAATCCTATAGATGTAAACATCTAAACACAAATCTATTCTAAGCTATTCAACCTACAGTACCAAGCTACTCTTGAGACTGCTTAATTCTGAATAAAAATGGTGTTTACAAACAGCTCACTTTCTGTACCTTAATGTGGATGAAGTACTGTCCTATTCAAGCAAAAATATTAGTTAAACAAAAGTCTTTGTCAAACAGAAACCAAACATGGATTTCCCACCAACAATGAGAAATTAAAATCTACGATGTAGATTAATCTTTGCAAACAGAATTAAATTATCTTTCAACTGGAAGGAGATAGAGAAAGGTCTCTCAAAATTAATATAACATGAATATTTTAATATGATTAAGGGACACCCCAAATAAAATTTAATAGCTATAACTTGATTTCTAATAAGCACTTCTGGAAGAAGAAGAAAAAAGGTCAAATAGTTTGTATTCACCACTGTTATTCTCCTATTTCCTCCAAGCTTCCAATTTTCCAATAATAGCTGTGAAATGCATTATATTATAGCTGATTTTAAATACTGGAGAGGTAGTGTTATCTTCAAATTTGTTTTCTGACGAATACTTTCAAACCTCATATTCCACAGATACCAAGAGAGGAAGTGAAATGAAATGGTTCTGAACTGGGGGGTGGGCTAACTGAAACAGAACAGATAGGTTGATGATTCAGGTAATGAATATCTAAAACCCGCTGAAAAATTTACTCTTATTAACTACAGGTCTATTTGTAGTCTTTCTCTAACCAAGAAAAACAAATCTCCTGACATAAATGTCAAATGAATATCACTTAGGCATGAATTGCTTTATTAGCTGCTAGGCAACATGCAATCTACTACAGAAACTCCTTGCTTTTTAAATAAATACCTGATAGGAGCACCTTTGGCTTGAGCTGGTCTCAACAGTACAGTTATGGTAGTGGCAGTTTCATTGAGAGATGCGTCAACTCCTTCATAGTCCGGTAAAGTGGGAGCTGATTAATGTTAAGGAAAAAAAGAAGCAGCAAGAATCAAATTAGCTGAAGCATTGTGAATTTTCATTAGATTCTGTACCTGCACAAAAATTGCACAAAGTCACATTTTCACAGGCTGCTAGAATCTTTCTGATGATTTTTCAGCCAGGGACCCCCTGTTGCATATCTGGAACTCCACCAGTGGTAATAATAAACCTGTAAATATCCCCATATCCGTTAGGTTAGAGAGGTTCATACAGGATAAGGAGTGGAAATGATGGGAGAAGGTGACTACATATTTATTCTTCCTCCATTTGTAAATGACATTTGTACTTTGTTGTTGTTTACAGACTTTTGCAGAAAAGGAACAAGAAGTCTATAAATCTCTCTTTAGCCTCCTCTTTTCACCTTTTTAATCACCTGTCTTCACCCACCCACCCCCAGCAGCCTCCATAATCTCTCTCCATGGCCCTCAATATTTTAGGATCCTTTCAAGTTTCATGTTGACTTTCAAGGAAGAATAGAGGTACACTACTAGATTGGGGAGAGTGATAAAATACTGCTTCTAAATCAGCCTAGTGAAGCTAAAAACTGCTCTACCACTTTTGTAGCACTGCCAAGGATCACACTGGGCAAGGAGGGGAGGCAGTAGTTTCCCTTTGCAGTATCACCTGTGAGTACTCCTTGAGGAGGCATTTTTAAAGGGAAATTTCTGCCTCCCTTTTCCAGCCAGGCACTCAGCAACACTAGAAAAGTGACTGGGGTCACTTAAAACATCCCAATTTAATGCAATGAAGTTAAGTCTCTCAATTAAAACTTTTAAGTGAAAATAAAACTTATAGGCAGACCATTTGGGAGGTTGGTGGGGGTGGGAAGAAAGAAAACCGAGGGCTAAGTGGGGAAATGGAGTGCGAGGGAAGAGGACAGAATAGGAAGAATGAGTTGTATGAGAAATGGGGACAGCAGTCTAATTACTCCACTTTAAAAAGAAATAAAAATGTATTTGTTATTTAATTCCCAGAACTTATACTGCATTAGCAGAAGCTGGAGAATAAGGAAGTTCATTCCTAAGGGAATTATACTTCACTAGAAAATAAAAAGATAATGGCTGGTTGCATGGCACATTAGAGTGCTCAAAATTGAAATGAAGCTACATGTAAACATGGTCAGTGGGTGGAAAATCCACCACCATCCTGCGTAAATTCTTCCAATGATTAATTACTCTCACCATTAAAAATTTACACCTTATTTCCAGTTTGAATTTGTCTAGCTTTAACTTCCAACCATTGGATCATGTCATACCTTCTTTTGCTATATTCAAGAGCCCATTGCTAAATATTTGTTCCCCATGTAGATACTTACAAGACTATAGTAAAGTCACCGCTTAACATTCTCTTTGTTAAGCTAAATAGATTGAATTTATTGAGTTCATATCACTGTAAGACTTGTTTCCTAATCCTTTAATCAGTTTCCTGGTTCTTCTCTGAAACCTCTCCAATTTATCAACATCCTTGAATTGTGGGCACCAGAACTGGACACAATATTCCAGCAGAGGTCACACCAGTGCCAAATACAAAGGTCAAATAACCTCTTTATTCCTACTCGATTTTCCCATTTATTCATCCCAGGATCACACTGGCTCTTTCAGCCACAGCATCACACTGGGAGATCATGTTCAGCTGATTATCTACCATAACTCCCAAATCTTTTTCAGAGTCACTACTTCCCAGGGTAGATTCCCTCAGCCTTTAAGTATGACCTACATTCTTTGTTCCCATATGTATACATTTACATTTAGCCATATTAAAACCGTACTGTTTGCTTGAGCCCAGTTTACCAAGCCATCTGGATTGCTCTGGATGAGTGATCTGTCCTTTTCATTATTTACCAATCCCCCAGTTTTTGTATCATCTGCAAACTTTATTAGGGATAATTTTTTTGTTTGTTTTCTTCCAGGTCACTGATAAAAAGGGCCACAAACCGATCCCTGTGGGTTCCCCACTGGAAACAAACCTGCTTGATGACAATTCTCTGTTTAGAGTTAAATTTTCAGATCCCTCAGCCCAGTTTTTAATGTGTGCAATGTTAATTTTATATTGTTCTAGTTTTTTAATCAAAATGTTGTGTGGTAACAAGTCACATGCCTCACACAAGTCCAAGTATATTGCATGAGGAGGGCTTCACACACAGATTTACAGTAACATTTGGAAAAATGTGACCCCCCCCCCTTTAGAAACATTTCAAGACATCAACATAGCAGAACGAGGCTGTGGTGGTGTGTTCACCCTATGCTTGCCCTGAAAGAGTTAATGAAGGCTAAGAAGTGGGCTAATTAACCCAACAGGCCACAGCTAAGAGGAATCAGGTGACTAAGTAATTCCCAGACTGAGTGAGGGCACCCAGCTGGGGAGGGACAAGCTGAGATGGGACTATGGAGACAAGAAATGGGAAACAGAAGGGGGCCGCCAGGAAAGTCTGAAGTCAGTCCCTGGGAGAAGGTCTGGCAAACCCAGAGAGCAGGGAAGCCAGGAATGTAGGACAAGGCTCTGGGGAAGGCAGTAAGATCTAGAAGGGAACCAACGGCTGGCTACAGGATCCCTGAGCCAGAACTTGGAGTAGAGGGTGGTCCCAGGTTCCTCTGCCAGCCACTGAAGGAGTGGCACTACAAGGCAGTGAATGGGCAGACTGCCTAGGATGGCTGAAGGAAGACTTTGGTATGCTGGGAGGGGAAAACACGTCGAGTGACCTGGCTGGATGGCTAAGTCATGAAGAGGCAGCAGCAGCTCATGGAACGAGAGAGGGGCTGCAGACCCACAAAGAGACAAAGGATAGTATACCACCACAAGAAGGGGCATTGTCCTGGTGATCTACTCCCTGGACTTAGCAGGATGATGCACAATCCCAACAGTGAGTTGAGGGAAATAACCTGCTTAGCACTGTTTTAGGTTTTCAACTGACTTATCTTTCTATTGTCTGTCCAGTTCTAAAGTTATCATGCCATATAATCAACTAAATCTCCAAGTTTGGCTTGAGACTAATTTTACTAGTTGCCAGCTCTATGAGTGGTAGCCTTATTCTTTGAGAACAATATTAAAGGATAACACAATTACATCTACCAGTATTTTCCTATCAAATTGTTTATATCTTTATTCTGTAGTTCTCTAGTTTTCATTACATTGAGATTTTTAAGACAATTAGCACCAGTATTCCATGATTCTGCTTCCTTGTTCTGCCATTAAATTACTGTGTCACCTGTAGGTAAATCATTTAATTGCTCTGCACCTCACTTCCCTGATCTGCAAAACCTGTGTAATACTTAACTCAAAAAACATTGTGAGACTTAATTACTTAATGTTTGCAAAGCACTCTGAAATCCCTGGATGAAAAGCACAATATTTAAAATTAATAAATTGAAAACATTTGAAAATTATAGATGCATAATTTTTTTAATGCACCTGCATACCCTTGGACTTGTAGCAGTATTTAGAGAATATATCCCAAAACATTCCCAGTAAAGTTGAACCACTTTAAATGGGTGGAGTGCATGGTCATTTGTTTTCCCCCTTATTTTTAAAGTTTCAGAAACATATTGTACAAAACAATTGCCCTTTGTTTTTTCAGTTACCTGAGATGTTGGTTGTTACATTGATTGCTGTCGCTGGTCCAAACCCTTTGACTGTGCTGGCACGTATAAAGAATTTGTAGGTAGTACCAGGGTGCAGATGTGAAAACACATGGTGTGTACTATTCCAGACCTTTGATACAGTCTGTGGGGGTCCCGCCACTAGGACAGCAGGATCAAATGACCTTATACTGCTATAGCTGACCTGTTAAAATAATTGTTTTTAAAATTATGTTAGGGCTTTTGGCAGACATGGGCAGAATGTTATCTATTTTCTTATTTGTAAAGGAGATAGATGGCATGCAGATACCTGACAGTAGATATCTTGAGAATATGGTATTTGCTGAATGTTATTTTATTGATAGGTATTAAAATACAATCTGTTTTACGCTTCTTTACCACTATACATACCCTTCCCTCGTCTATCTCCCTACATTCTTAATATCTATAAGCTAGCAGGAAGCATACCTTCTTTACTCTACCTCTTCCAAAAGTCACATTCAAACACTGTCTAAAATCATGCTACGATATTCAAACCCAACAGTGATATATCAGACTCCATTAGCATACTGCAGAGCCTGCACACACTAGAAATTCAAGTATTTTTATGTTTTAATGAATTAAATTAGTACACATTAAGACTCCTCCCTCCTCCACTTAAAAAAAAGGAAGACAGAAAGATAGACTCTTCCTCAGAGTCTGCACATTTTGAAAGTGCCTGCATCCAAGTTTCCTGTGGGTGTATGTTTTTTTCAAGGGCTCACACATTTAGTCATAAAAAAGAATCATTCTAGAATTTGTGTGCTGGTTTCCTTGAAGGGAGGGTAGCCAAAGTTACGGCAAAGCCTAGATAAGTCAATTTCACCATTAATAATCCTCTTCATATTTGTGTGTGTAACCTTCTCTTTCCGCAAATGAGATTCCCCAGGTCTCCACTAAATCACAGCTTTGGAAGGCTGTATATTAATATTACAAGATTTAAAATTAGTGTTTCACTTACTCATGGATTCCATAATTTGTGATAGCCACACAGCAATGCTTCTTGACAAGGCCAACCAATACTATTATGCATTGTGACAAACTCTAGTCACCACAATAATTCTATTACTCTGTGAAACAGAGTAACAGCTAATTGAACAGAATCTTTCTGCAAACTATAAGCACGTAAAATCATTAGTAATTATTCCCTCACTTTCCAACCTCCTTAGGGTGACCAGATAGAAAGTGTGAAAAATTGGTACACTTTTTTTGGGGTGGTGGTGTATATGAGACAAAGCCCCTAATGTCGGGATGTCTGGTCACCCTAAGCTTCCTAGATGTTCTTTCTATTACCTCATACTGCGTAATGATGCCATTTGGATCCAAAGGTTCTTTCCAGTTCAGGAAGATCTTGTCTTCAAATGGGGTCCCTTTTAGTGATTTTGCAGGTACAGGGCCAGGCACTGCAAATAAATTAGAATTTTAGCGAGCGAGCGAGAGAAGTAAACTGAACATTGGGTGATGATGTACCCTATCCAAGACTGAAGTTAATAAAATCTCTAAATATTAATATTCCTTTTAATGCAGAAAAAAGGCACAGGCACATATCCAGCTATGCAGGGAATGCAGCCAGTCGAGACCGCACCCCAAACATGATTTCATATGCGTCATGCAAGATAAATTAATTTGGTCTCGCAAAGCACACAGGGAAAAAACCAAACCACATCATAGTCTCAGTCTTTAGTGAACCTCATTAACTTTAATAATAAACCTGTCTCAAGACCAGGACAACGCTTCAGCAGAAGGATTTTGAAGACTGCTTCAAAACCAGCCTTCCAAATCAAAGGCCCATAATCATATAATTAAGTACATGTCATATTGCTCCTCCTGGCATCTACTAAAAGACAGAAATGCTGGGAAACTTTGGTGTCAGTCATCTCTCTTCTAGCTTTGTTTTAAAAACTAAAAATCTTAATTAAAAAACAGCAGTTCAACCACCACCGCCGCTTTCCAGGACAACAACGTTAGTGCTGCAGTAGAGCGAGAACTGCCTGCTTCAATCTTTCATATAAAAGAAGTTTTTCAAAGCTTTGACCTGAACTAAGCTAGAATGACCCACGTTTCTTATATCAATGTAATCAGTGAAGGAATGTCCCCCCATCCACGGTATAATAAGGTTTGAAGAGTCACTTTAGGACCCATTACCTGAAGTATGATTCATAATAACTAGTAATCACATCAGTACTAGGTCTGAATGCTTAGTTATCTCCCATTTTCAGTTTACAAGGTTTTCACCACCACCCCGCCGCCCTTGCATAAGGTTCTTTTTAACCATCAGCACTTCGCCTGGAGTTGAGGATGAACGTGTTGAAAGATTGGTGGGAAGGGGGGAGTGCAGAATGAATGTAAGAAAGAGATTTTATTTTTAAAAAGTCTCGCAACTTAACAAGTTGTTTTGATTTAAATATCCAAGCATATATTTGTCTTCCCTAAAAAGGAATTAGTTCCCTTCTCCTCCCTCCCCCCTTAATCCAACATGCAATGAGCTTCAGACATGACATTTCCTGGAGATTTATTTTCAAAGTATCTTGCAATTTTGTAAGGGGCAAAAATAAATTAAAAATCACTGGATCAAAGGAAGTGCTGTGCACCGTGTTAGCAGCAACAAGGAACAGAGAGTGGCCTGTCACAACAGCAAGATTTATTTCAGTCAACATGGAAGATGTAAATGATGAGCTGACCTCTGGGATAGGCAGAATAATTTGATACATTAATAATAAATTCATGGAGTCAGAGAAGCCCACAAGTAAACAGATGAGACTCCAACACAACTTCATAGGAACTGTTCATCCATCTGTCAGTTGAAGACTTGGGAGAAGTTAACTAAATGCATATACTGCTGTTTTGCTTCACTATACTGACACAGATTGTGTAGTGGATAAAGGCTGATGTGCCATGACAGCCCCTCTGTGCTGTTTGTGGCATTCAAGGATGCTGTCATATGCATCATTCTATGTTTCATGGGAATGCTCGGCTGCTTCTCTTCTCCACAGCTCAAATGAAGCATACTGTTGCGTGTAGTCTGACCCAGGTGATACCTTTCATTTTACATCTGAATGTGTGTATAAGAATGTATGGGAGTGCAGCTAGAGAATTCCAAACACACTTGCTTATATTTTGCTAAAACAGTTTTGAAAATAGCATTGGAGTGGAAGGGATAAACAAGTGTCCACACATTGTTTGCAAAGACACCTGAAAAATTATTTATTGTGTCTTCTTTTTTAAGAGATTGTGCTGCATAGAGGAGTGAAACTGGACACAGGACACGGGAGTCTTGTGTTTTCGTGCACCCTCCCACATTTCTTTTTAAACACCCAAGCAGGAAAAGCCCACAGACTGATTGCACTGCATGATCATAGTCTGTGCCTCTGCGCTACAATATTCTTTAACGGTGGCAGCAATAATGTTAAACTGACTGGCACTAGTTAGTTACGTGATTCTATTTCCACAGACACCAAAAGAGCATTAGAACAAAAGTTCAAACTCTGATTATAAACCTCTACTGCTGAGAATGCCAGATACATAAATTGGGGGGAGTGGGAAGGGAAGTAGAGGAAAAAATAAGAGCCTAGAAACAAAGGTTGGCAAGTGAGGAGAGGGATATATGAAAGCAAAGAGATTCTGAAGAGGAGTGTATCTGTAAACCAGTGGGCAGACTCACCAACCAGGTTAGTCAAAATAAAGCCTAAATTCTCAAGTTCCGTCCCCATGTCCCTTTCCTCAGGGCTAGTTTTATTTACAAAAATATTAGTCAACGTACTGCAGGACACCAGGCAACAAAGGCCTCTCTCTAGGGTTGCCAACTTTCTAATTGCACAAAACGGAACACTCCTGCCCCGTCCCTTCTCCAAGACCCCGCCCCCTACTTGCTCCATTCCTCCTCCCTCCATTGCTTGCTCTCCCCCACCCTCACTCACTTTCACCGGGCTGGGGTAGGGGATTGGAGTGGGCTCTGGGGATGAGGGGTTTGGAGTACGGGAGAGGGCTCCGGGCTGGGGCAGAGGTATGGACTCTGGGCAGGCCAGAAATGAGGGGTTCAGTGTGAGAGAGAGCTCTGGGCTGGGGCAGAGTTCGGGGGGCGGGTGAGTGCTCTGGGGTGGGGCTGGGGGATTCGGGGTGCAGGCGGTGCTCTGTGCCGGGCCGAGGAGTTCGGGAGGGGGTGCTGGCTCCGGAGATGAGGGGTTTGGGGTGTAGGAGGGGGTTATGGGGGGGGCAAGGAGTTTGGAGTGAGGGAGGGGGTGTGGGCTCCAGCTGGGGTGCAGGAGGGGCTCCAGGCTCAGGCAGGGGGTTGGGGTGCAGGGGGGTGAGGGCTCCAGCTGGGGGTGTGGGCTTTGGGGTGAGGCTGGGGATGAGGGGTTTGGGGTGCAGGACAGGACTCAGGGCTGGGAAAGAGGGTTGGGATGTGGGAGGGGTTCAGGGTCCCAGAGGCGCTTACTGCAGCTACCAGGAAGCAGCCGCCAGGTTCCGGCAGCCATTAGGTGCATGGGCAGCCAGGGAGGCTCCACACACTGCCCTTGCGCCCACAGGCGCCACCCCTGCAGCTCCCACTGGTCGTGGTTCCCAGCCAATGGGAGCTGCGGAGTCGGTACTCAGAGTAGGGGCAGCACGCGGAGACTCTCCGGCTGCCCATGCACCTACAGGCTGCAGGGACCTGGCGGCTGCTTCTGGGAGCCGCACGAAACTAGGGCAGGCAGGGAGTCTGCCTTAGTCCTGGGTTCCTGCTGTGCCATCGACCAGACTTTTAACGGCCCAGTCAGCAGTACCTACCGGAGCCGCCAAGGTCCCTTTTCGACTGGGCATTCCGGTCACAAACTGGATGCCTGGCAACCCTACCTATCTCACTTTCTGTAAACTGGTAAGGGCTAGAACACATCTTTACTCCTAGGTAGCTCTTCTTGGCTAATTCCAAGGTCTCCTGACAGGTCCACATGCAGGGACTTCCCTCAGGGTCTTACCTCATATTCCCAATGCTGAGCCAGGCCTTTCTTTATATAATCTTCTGCAGGCAGTCACATAACAATTGGTCAGGTAACCCCTTGTCTGTCTGGTGACTACATTTCCCACCAAAAGGGCCCAAAAGCCAAATCAGGCCCACTGGGTGTATATCCCAAAGCCCAGTGTCTTGTTACACTATTTCTTAGTTGTCTTGTCAATTCCCATAGTCCTCCACAAGTGGTATTTCTTTCCTCCTTTCAGTTGTTTTAATAATTAATACTATGTTAAAGCACAAAAGATAAAGAGGAATATATATTAAAAATTACATTACTCGGTTAAGATTCCAAATCAGTGGCCAAATATTTGAACTAAAAATTACAAATATCTTTCGGCAATGGCAGAAAAATTGGAGCTGACATCTAATCCTTGAGCCTCTGCGTTCACTTGGGCGACTCAAAAAGAGAGTTTGTGGCTCTGTCAGACTTCCCTTTTTTTCTCCCAATACCCCTATGCAATGGCCCCTCAACCTCTTTTGGGGCCCAGCATTTTATAACACACATATCCTTAAACCACAGCTTCAGTCTTAATTCTGAATTTCCTTGTTTTTATGTGCATAAATCCATTTTATTTTAGACAAGGTTTGTCAATTTCTAACTAAATGGAGCTATTCTCATACCAATATGGATAGGGCTCCCAAGCTGTTTGCACAAAGAGTTCTGAATTTATATTTAAAAATATAAATAATAATAAATATACCATACACTGAAAGGGAATTTCATCATGGATTTATGGTGGAAATGTCACTAGCTCTTTTAATGATTTATGGATATCACCAGAAGACATTTCATGAAATTATATACTTGTATAGTGCATAGCTTATAATTTATTCTTTTATATATTTATAAGATGGCAGACTTTACAGAATATTATGCTTAAAAATAACACAATCAATTGATCTGACATCAGAATAATTCATTATTTTAGAGCATTAAATTTGCATTGAATTATGTCACAGTCATAAAGAAATTGTAATTCCCAAACAGTGTCAGTTGAATATTGTCCTGCATGAATTTTACAGGAAAGGCATTTACTACATCAGTTTTAGTAGAACAATGTTTTAATGGACACCAGCTACTATAAAATGATTCCATATTGCTTCTGTTTTCCTGCTACATAATAATGAAAGTATCAACAGAATATTTTCATTATTATTAAGGATACACTCCATGGTGAAGGCTGCATGGAAATATATACACTGTATAGAGACATAGGTACAGTTATAGTAAGAAGAAATCCTTTGTTGTACAAAAAAGGTAATATGTACCAGCAAGAAACTGATAACATTTACTCGGGGGTAAATATCAGCTTACAACACTTTCAGTGAAGTGCTTTGTGGTTGTGAAAATAGCATCCAAACCCTATCTATCCACATTTCACTCAAGTATCTGATCTTTTTGTTCTTGTACAT